TGGGGAGACAAGGGGACGTGGCCTAAGGGAATATCACTCGTGATGTTAAGTGATGTTACCCCGCCATCGCTGATACAACCTTTAGCAGTCATGTTTTTGCTTCTTGAGAGAGAGAGAAAGTGTGTGTGTGTGTGTGTGTGAGCAGTGGCGGTTCTAGGCGGGGGCCTGGGGGGGCCAGTGCCCCTGCGACAACAAGCTTGGACCCCCTTGTGGCCCCCCTAAATGTGGAGTCAGTGTGAAATATTTTTTTTATAGTGTGTCACGCATTGAGCATGACAGTCACTCGTTTCAGTCTTTTGTCTCACACTCCCGTCACACATTGTATTTCTCATGCGGAAAAACTATTAATAATATATTTAATATACGCAATTTCTCTGGCCGCGCCGCTCTCACGTGAGAATCAAGCGCGTCTCACCTGGAGTTCAGCAGTCGACCCTGCTACGCATCAGCCAATCAAAAAAAGAGAAGTGCTACTTAATAGCCAATCAGATAAGGGCACTATTGTATCTGGGTAAAATTTAACGCAACAACCAATGAAAAAAAGCATATCCTGGAATTGTTCATATGATTCTGTTACAACATCTTCCGAAAGTTTCTTCACCCGTCCCACAGATGAAACTAATCACTGGAGCTCCGAACATCACTTGGAGCACGGAGTAAGTCATTATCTCCTGTTTTAATGTTACAACAAATTCACAACTTGTTTGACAAAAACTATGACAACTTGACTGATGTAAGATGAATCTTTCCCGTAGCGTAAGCTAGCTTACGCAATGCTCGTTCCCTCATCTAGAGAGAACCGAGGTTACGTTAGGTAATCGATTCGTTTCCCATTTAATTAGTATCAGTCTGTAACTTAGACAACAGTTTTACAGCCTGTTCACTGACAACACCTGCTCAGAACAAGTAGTCTAGGCCTAGTCATCTTATTACACGAATCACGATGACTGACATATTGTCACATTATAAACATCTCTCTCTCCAAATAGGCTTAATAATTTTATTAGCACTAGATAATTAAAGTGTATTGCATAGTCGATTTTATAGGTCACTTTTAAATCATGTCATATTTTTATAATTATATCCTGGCCAAGGATGCATTAATTATTGCTTCTGTCTTTCAAAGATGTCAGGAAAAAAAACAATTATAAAAAAAGCTCATTCACCCTGAGAGGAAAGCCCCCTAAAAAGGCCAGTTTAGAGGATAATTTGCTGATCTTTTGCAAAAAAAAAAAAAAAAAAAACCCCACAAAAATCGTAGATTAATTTGTAAAATTATATATATATATTATATATATATATATATATATATATATATATATATATATTACATACATACGTATATTCAATGTAAAAAAATAAAATGGAAATTCAAATACAGACTGATATATGTAATGCAAATGTAAAAATATAATGGAAATGCAAATTGTTGGATAATTATAAACATGGTATTTTGCTTATTTATGCCTTCAGTGCAGTGCAGAAAATGATAAGGTCTAAATGTAACTGGCCCCTCTAACAGTACAACTGCCCCAGCTTGGCCCCCCAGTTGAAATGGTCTAGAACCGCCACTGTGTGTGTGTAAGAGAGAGAGAGAGAGAGAGAGAGAGAGAGAGAGGAGAAGATGTAACAAGTTTAATATTGTTTGTAAACTGTGTTTGAGAGAGAGGAAGGTGTTCAGAGAGTCTGTAGGATGTTAAGCTGTTATTTGTTTTATGGACTCAATGTTGAAATTTAAAACATTTCAAAAACACACTGTTGGCAGAAGTGAAAAATAAATAATTTTATGAAGTTACAATTTTGTTTGATTCCATGGTGTATTTTACTGAACATGAGTATTTACAATGCAAATTATTGTAATTTACTGGCAAATACTTATCTTGTCTTTTCATTTTATTAAGATCAGATTCTGCATGTAAAATTAAAATAATAAAGTGACTTGACTTGCACTTGACTTAACCTACTACAGACTTGACTTGACTTGACATAGCCTGTGACTTGACTTGACTTGACTTGCCCCCCCCCCCCCCAAAAAAAAATACTTGGGACTTACTTGAGACTTGACGGTTAAGACTTGAGACTTACTTGAGACTTGCGTGACCTGCGCCCATCTCTGCTCTAAGTTTTAAGACAGTTCAAATGGAAGTTGGGAATTATGTGTTGTTTGAATAAATCTCCTAGGGAGAATACATCAAATTACAAACGCATGTGTTTACCA